CCAATGTTCAAGCAAGACGCATACAGGAAAGTATAAACCATAGGAGTTAAGTAGTTCTTCTGTGTATTGCCTTGCTAAACCCAACGGTAGTGACTTGAAGAAAGACACAACAGCAAACGATACCATTATTTCAACTGCTGTCATTTTAAGTCCTTTTAATTTTTTCAGACTATCGGCAGAGGTATCATATGTAGGGCACATTATACATGCTTAGTCTCAGTCTTGGCTCCTAGGAGACCGGTAGTAATGGAATTTTGGATAGCGAAATACGCAAAAGGGTAATCGTGAGTACGGAAAGCTAAAGAATAGCAGCTCAGATAGGCTTACTTAAATTACAAGGGCTCTGACACTACTATAGAAGGCTAATCGCGAATACTATACACAACTACCAACTTAGTTCGTTAAACGTAACCCTAAATCTTACCCTAACCGTAGGAAACAAGCCCGGAGCTTAGGGTATATAAGTTGCGCTACCAGTGATAATGCTGACAAAAACTCTATAGAATTGTTGACGGATGTTTCATATTCTTTTGTCAGGGGGTGAAGAATTGGGAGTAGTCTCTCCGAGATTTTATACTTAGTTGCACTGATTAAAGATACACTAGATCGTAGTGGTACGTTGCGTTTGTGAATTTTAGCAGTCCGTAGATCTTACCTATGGGTGGTTTGACTTGTCAAGCGTAAACGTAGTTAGAGGTCAACTCCAACAGGTGCATGGCATTCATCGTGAAACTGATGTTTGCAAATGGACGTGCTTGTATCAACATGGTCAAAATAATCAGTTATTTGTCCTGGTTAAAATAGTTTATTGATGCTTGATCAGATAAAAATTTCAAACACCTACTGTAGGCATATAAGGGTTGCTGCTAATACGCTGATAGCCCTATTAGCGAGTTCGAGGCTCGGGCGTGACGCCACCTGTGTCTGGCTATGACTAGCTGACGACGGCGAATAAGGCAGAAATGGCCATCCTAGTCTCCCTTGTCTTTGTCGCTAATGTCCTTCTGCCTATATCTCTAGCCGCCTCGCGGTGTAGGCTCGAATAAGAGGTCAAGTGACGCCATGGACGGATGAGTGAATCCTCTAATAGATCGGTGTACGCGTATCCGCCGCATTATTAGGTATATAACACCAATTTCAAACAGACTTTGCCTCGGCAAATGCAGGTAATGGGTAAACCAATGGCTCATGTGGATGGTTTTTTTTATTTTGTTCCGGACTCCGAAAAGCGGGTGCAATTTCCTTTAGAAAGCCTCTACGTATGTAACCACTGCAATATCCCTAGGAAAGGCATTCACAGCTTCAGTCACTCTGCTAAAGAAAAGCTTCTGTGTCTACAGTATGGCACCAGTAACACGTAGTTTGAGGCGATGACCTCACAGGATATTTTGTATTTGCAAAATAGAAAAAGTACCCGGAAAAAAAGTCAACAGTCTTGACCGCTTATGATGCGGAAAGTTTGCATGAGGACGCCTCGTAAATCAAAGCATAGAGACTGAAAATAGGAGAGCGTGTTGCATAGGGTAGTGAGACCTGAACCGTTGTGAGTTCGGTCAATATCCGTTTAACATTCTCGGGCGGAGGCTGAGAAACGCCAATTGTGGTTGCACTACTGCTCGGATGACATCAGCTATGTAGTCCTCGTCAAAAGAAGAGAATGCCCATCTGACGGACTGGCATCGCGGATTTATGGCAGTACGCAAACGCATACACATGCCTCCCCTTCCACCTGACGCTCCTGGTCGATTGGATACTGGAGCAGCCGGCATCTTTGCACATGCCAATCAACGCGCGCGCTTTCAATGATTGGCTGCAGGTGCGAGAGGACGCGCAGACTAGGGTCCGGCGATATCCACAGCGGACACTGACACACACAGGCATAAAAAGACTGCTTATGGCCATTCCTGCAGAACCTTCTGTGAGTTATTTCAGCAAAAGCCAGTTCAGCCTAATCCGTCTTCCGTGTCTCCTAGTTTGGACAACCTTCGTGTTCTCGAC